GATTATTTTTCCTCAGAGGAATATGGGCGGGTAGCCATTTGTCTACCTGTGTATATATCCATCACGGGAGTTGATCGACATGGTGCGGTCATCTTTACCAGCCACTGATTGTGAAGTTGTTGTTGTGAGTCGATGTTGTGACACCGAACACACGGACACTCCTGGTCAAGCATTGCGAGGCTCGGATGAGGACAAATCTTGAACTCGCGACTCGTTGTTTGTTGTTCCAGAAAGACATACATTTCGCGACGTAGCGAAGTAACTCTTGGGCGACTGGCACTGGGAGGTAAAACAGGTGCACACGATGCCACCAGGGGTTGTCAGGAGCGCGGCAATGGAGAACGCTCCGTTTCGCAGAGACCAGATTGCCAAATTGAACTGAAATCACCCGTGAATTCCTTGCCCCCCCCTCCATGGAAGCTTGCTCGCATGCTGGAAGTGGCCTTGATAATCAATCTGGACCAATTCCCAGCGTTTCGAGTCGCTTTCGAGCCAGAAGTGATCAAGTGGGACCTTGATACCGAGCCATTCAAGCTCAGGGGGGGGGAAATTTCCAAAGGTGGGTTATTTTTGTTCGAACGATCTCGCGGGTATGCGCGTTGGAATCGCTTCCCGCGATTGCAAAGGCCTAGTGTGGAGTACGCAAACGAGGTTTGGGTCCGAATTGGGTGGGTTTTTCGTCACTCGTGCCAAACTCGACTAGCTGTTCCATGCGTTTTCTGCGGTCTCTCAACGTCACACTACATGTGGTCTCGTTGCAATAATGTGCGATGGAATCCACATTGAGGTTCTTTGTCTGTCACCTTCGACCACGGGCGAAAGAAGATGTCGTTCAATGTGCAAAGCATTCCCGACCTGCGGCATCCGCGGGAAAAACCTTACCTGTACTGCCGTTTCGCCTCCTGCCCGACGCAACCCTTCCTGACCCCCACCCGATGGCAAGGTGTCGACGCGGAGGATCGGCATGCGCTGCAGTTTTTAGATGGCTTCCTCATTGTTTCCGACCATCAGCTCGAGGTGATGTCTGCGAGTTTCGGCGTCGGCTCAGGGACCCACTCTGGGATAAAAGCCGGGTTCCGAAAGGCATTCAAGAACAGATGGAGGCATTATCTTGCGACGGCCAACCTAGACCTGGCCCCGCCATGCGCATGGAATATGGTCCTACGACGCAGGTTTGTAATGGGTGGCCCCAGACTTGACTACTCCCGACGCATTCTGATCGCGACGCGCAGCAGCTATCGGGTCTTTTTTTTCATTGCTTGTCGACTTTCGTGCTGTCTCTCCTGGTGTTGATGGATGCACGTTGTGAGAGATTGACCGGGCCGGGGTTAGCGGGGTTCACTCGGTCGGCTGTGTGCGGTGCGCACACGGAGCAGTGATAACAACCTCACATATATGTAGCCAGTTGTTGTCGATCGCCCAGGACACCGAAGCGAAGGACGTTAACACCGAGGGAAATTTTGAAGGCTTGTACTCCTTTCCCTCTCTGGCCTGCGCCAAGTTGTACGAGGACTTTGGTTTTCCGTTCTTGGCGCTGCCTCGAGCAATAAGAAATGCCAGAACACTCCATACCTGGAGAATGTTTCAGCTCTGTCTTCAGCGGTCTGCGTCCCTCACACACAGATGACTCCATCTTACGGCGACCCGTAGATAAGATGTGTCCATATTTTTTGGTGCAAGCATTAAATTATGAAGGAAAGTGCCGTGATCGGAATGTATCCCAATCCGCAGTGTTAACAACGCCCGGCCCGCCTGCCCGCCGAAATGAATCCAGTCCCACGATGATGAACAGCATGGAGGCTCACACTCCTTGGGTGACGGCGGGAGACTCTCCCCGGGCTCACGCTCACTACCACGCATGGCACATTCGAACTTCAGAGGGGGAAACGGAACGTTCATTCTCAAAGCAACGTTACATCTTCAACAACGTGGCTTCTCAGAGTATATGCCCTATGTTCGTGTCCACGAGGGAGGCCTCCGAAGAAGCGTGTCCCTCTCGCTTCTCTGGGAACGACTCACCCGTGTACATATCGTCCAACAGGTAAGGGCAAGCACACTCAAGCGACGCGCCTCCACTGCCGCGTCTTTCACTCTTTGTCGCGTGGTCGAATGATTTACCCTCAACGATGGATTCTACTTGACTCTGATTGAGTACCGAGAACCGCCCCCAAGGGTACTACATCGTGTGGCGTCAGAAAGGGAGAGGAGGCACGAACAGTGATAAACATGCGATGCGCGCACCGCATGCAAGCACGTGATCACCGTGCTGCTCTGAGATTTTGGGACGAATGGCACCCTGAGCGTGATAAGCGTGGCACCCGTTTCATGTCAGCAGTCATGGCATAAGCTGGTACTGCCGACACAGAGCAAGAAGTACCATGGGTCGCATAAGATGATTCCACACACCCGGGGCCAATTTTTAGCACGATTTCTCTGCAACACGAACAGTGACAGTGCCGGAAAAGGCGGCCTAGAAACATCTTGTCGAGAGTTTTTGGAGGAAAAGTACACTCAGCATACCTTAATTGGCAAACGCAGAAAACGGCGTACCGAGGGTTTCAGGTGACATTGAACGGTACACAGGAATTGACTCGGGAATTGACCCCGAGGCCCCGCGCTGTCTGGCCAAGACCACACGGTACCGTTTTCTGGCAGCTGCAGCGGGGAATACCGATACCGGGCTGCTCGAGTCGGGTGTCACCGTTTTTTGTCGCAAAATTTCCCGCATAAAGAACACTCGGTCTGATGCGACTGCGGACCTCGCAACTCACCGATCATGTGCGGAACGGCTCTGTGCACTCCGAAACACCTTCATGCGGGAGTTATTTTTTGCAACAGTACGATATCAGTAATTCCCCGCTGCAGCCGCCAGAAAATGGTACTGGGAGGTCTTGGCCAATCAGCGTGGGACCTTGTGGTCAATTTCGAGTCGATTCCTTGTGCACCATATTATTTCTCACCTGAACCCCCCGGTATTTCGTTTTCTATCGTGCCCCATACAGCGGTACGTCACTTCCCCGTTTAGCTTCGCTGATGTTGTTACTCTTTGGGCAGGCGAATGTAGAGGTCCAAACAAATCCCCGATCGTTCCTGTTTGTGGTTTGGTGGGGTCACCGCTTGCTGAAACACAACCGACACTTGCTTCGCCACCTTTTTTTGTTGCGTTGCGAAACTGACGACATAATTCAAACGCCATGAGGGGTTTCGTACGTACACAGCTAGCTGCTGTTCGCAACGTCTTCGTCGTACCAGTGGCGGCAACTGTGGTTTACGAAAGACTGAAGAATGATGCTGTCAAAAGGTGTGGGAGGCGGCGCTCCCTTTTCTCGTTAACCACGTTGCCCACCACAATGCACCAATCAAAGTGACCAACCGTTACACCTTTGTGAGAACACCCTTTCTGTTACCGAGAAGGGTCCCTGAAGTGGTGAATAACCGTTCACCAGCGGAGGTATTTCTCTCTTATTTCAATATGGCGAGGAATTGCCAAGCGTGGCCGACTTTGGTCGGCCGTGCTAGGATTTCGAAAGGTCAACTATGAGAGTGAGCCTCGGGGGCACGCGTCCATCCTCTGGCTGGTCACAACAGACGGAGAATCTTTCTTTGTAAATATCTTCAGACCCCGAGAGCGTCGTTCGTGGGTTTCGGATCTCTGCCGATTGTACGTGCATCACTACCACTAGGAAGATCCCTTATACTGGTTCCCGCGCATTGACGGTTCTAATCTCGTCGACAATGTTGAGGTTGCGTTTTTTCCTTGGTGACGACCGTGGTTCTCGTTTGGTCGCTTGTGCCGTACTAAACTGTGAATGAATGCATGGAACAGGCCAGGTGTTTCGTGTTGGGCAGTCGCGGAACAAACCACCTCCGAGCAGCAGTAGAAAAGTGCGGGCCTCTGCGTCTTGTTTTTCCACTATACCCGCCCCGGGCCAATCCTGCGCTCGTGGGAGTCGGCTTTTTTCCCTTCAAAACCCGTTCTTCGCACGTACAGTGTTACTGCGCCTTGTCCCCACCAGCTGATGTCCTCTGTCGGTGTTTCTCCGCCTCCGGCTTCGACCTCTTCTTTCGCAGCAAGAGCACGGCCCGCAACTGCTCGGCCGAAGCTAGAAAAAAAGACATCGAGACCGCCTTCGTAGACCTGGGAATAAACGCTCAAGACGCGCACACGGCCTTCAGCAAGAACCCGGACACGGTTGTCAACGCGTTCATTGACTTTCTTTATCTGATGGACGCTGACATCATCGTCCGTACGGCCTCTTCATTTTCGGGTGCCATTATTGACATAAAGTCTTATAGATGCATGGATGCGTACTTGGGCAAGTTGCCTGTATTTCGGATGCATCTATTCGTTTGCGTGCCGGCGGATTGTTAACTGCAGATTTGGATGATTGACCCGTTTAATGTGTTGCTGTTCTCAGTGTTGGATTACTTGGCTGTGAGTTAAATATCTACTTGTTAACAAGGTCTGCAGGTAGTAACTGGCGCGAAGTGGTTACTTAGAGCCTGATTAGGAAGGCTTCGGATGACCCATAGTACGGGCAAGTTTTCTCTCATCGATCCATCTTGGGGCACATCCGCTATTTAGAGCCATCCAAGCTGAGAACTTCCCACGGAGTACTCTGCATCGCGGCACAGCAATATATGGGGGATGGAGGATAGCCAATGCCTTGGTTTCTGTCCGCGTGGGAGTGGAGCATGCAGGTATCGCCGGTGGAGTAGTAATCTCGAACCATCCACACATGTTTTTGTGTGTACTGTACGTGGGGGAAATGGCTTAGCCGGTGTAGCCCCGGCGGGTGTAGCCCCGGCGGCAAATACGCCCCGGCCTGCAGGGCTGGCAAGCAAGGATATATCAGGCAGTTTTTAATACATTTTGCCTTGATTTGGTAGACTAAGGTTTGATGGTTTTGTGCCTTCTATTTTTGAGATCTTTCCTTTTTCGGCTTCTCAAGAAGCGTGTACCACCTATTGGGGATAGTTACTGTAGACTGTGACCACGGAAGTTGTCCGAGTTGGTTGGACTACAGGTCTTAAAAGGCCCGAGTGATAATTAACCCTTATGTCACTGACTCGATTGCGGATCTTCCAGGGGCTTTTGGAGGCCACCAGTCCGAACAGACCTTCGAAAAACCGGAAAGAATTTTACCAGTGCACATGCGCACATACAACAAGCAGATACAGGTCTAGTGGGTAACCTCGCAGCCTGCTAAGGGCCAGGTCTTGGGTTCGAGTCCCGGCAGAGTGAGTTTTTTTCCCACTAAATAAATCCTGGTCTAGGATGAAAGCGATGCGTTGCAANGGTTGGACTACAGGTCTTAAAAGGCCCGAGTGATAATTAACCCTTATGTCACTGACTCGATTGCGGATCTTCCAGGGGCTTTTGGAGGCCACCAGTCCGAACAGACCTTCGAAAAACCGGAAAGAATTTTACCAGTGCACATGCGCACATACAACAAGCAGATACAGGTCTAGTGGGTAACCTCGCAGCCTGCTAAGGGCCAGGTCTTGGGTTCGAGTCCCGGCAGAGTGAGTTTTTTTCCCACTAAATAAATCCTGGTCTAGGATGAAAGCGATGCGTTGCAAAGCTCGTTGTTAGTAAAACCATAATCATCGACTTCCTAAGTCGCGAGGGAAGGGATTGCTGTACCCTTCTCGAGATAAAAAATACCTCAGGCAGGAACCGCAGGAGGGGGTCCAGCCCCCCCCTCCTATGTGACCCCGGTTTGGGTCGTCTAGCTAGTAGAAGCGGAGGATAGGGGCCAGAGAGAGACGATAGAAGAGTCCAATGATGGGAGAAAAAAGAAAAAAGGATGCACCAAGCAAGGGAACAGCAAACAGCAGCACAAGCCAACAGCAGCAGCAGCAGAGCAGCGTCGGGCACGCAGCCTCGTTCGTACAGCCGCAGCAGGGGTGACTCAAATCGAATGCACCCCCACTAAACTCAACGCTCGCTTGCCGTATACCTACTCGATGTGATATACACACCTATAGGTTGCAAGACAGAGCCAGCAAAGCAGCAGCAGCAGCAGCACCTGCACAACAACAGCATCTGAAGCACCACCAACAACCAGGATGGCGCGGAGGTCCCCATCTCACAGCGAATTTGCATGCTCATCACACGACCAATGACCTCAAAGCACATATATTTTTCAGTTGCCTGTACAGGTCCCCGCCGTTGTAGACTTAGACGTGTACTTTGTTGTGAGGAGATGAACAAACACGAGAGCAAAGCAGCAGCAGCACTCCTGTAGCAACTAAAGTTACACGCTGCTCCTATGTGTGTCCCCTGTGTTCGTCGAGGAAACGTGTCGACCCATGGCTTCCACCTTACGAGCATGCCGAATATCTTCGTCCGCTCTCCAATGTCACGGTATGATGAGATGGCTGCTGCGCTACATAGCCTAGAGTTGGAGGTGGAATAATAGTTTTTTGTGGTGGTTGCACAAAAGTACCTGCAGTAGGCTCGTGCGTCTGTTCATTGGCTGGCTCGTGTGATTTTCTCGTCGTACAGGGAGCGCCTCCGTGCCATCTTCGTCGAAGTGTGGAATGGGGGAGAGATGCCGCAGGAGTGGAAGGATGCCATCATTAAGGTGTTGTACAAGAAGGAGGATTCTATTTACGTCACCGGGTGGCGTTTTTTCTAATGTACGTCACCGCCCGTATCTCAGCCCACAGAGCTTCAATTGGCACGAAATAAATTGCGTCGTGTAGCTATGACCCACACCAATCATACAAGCCTTTCCACGGTCAAATCCGACAAGTGGTTGCGGAAATTTGTTTAAAAGGGGGCTCAGCAGTATGATACTGCATCTACCACAAAAAAATCCGACTGTTTCTTCGCGCAGAGCGCTCCGATCGACACNAATAAATTGCGTCGTGTAGCTATGACCCACACCAATCATACAAGCCTTTCCACGGTCAAATCCGACAAGTGGTTGCGGAAATTTGTTTAAAAGGGGGCTCAGCAGTATGATACTGCATCTACCACAAAAAAATCCGACTGTTTCTTCGCGCAGAGCGCTCCGATCGACACCTTAAGTGATGGCTGTGAATCGTGGAAACACAACGCGAGTTACATAGTTGGTGTCGATGAGAACTCTGCGAGGAGGCACGGTCGTTTTATTTATGGCAGATACAGTATATCATACCGCTGAGCCCCCTTTTGAGCATATCTCCGCAACCATTTATCGGATTTGACCGTCGAAAGGCTTGTATGATTGGTGTGAGTCATAGCTACACAACGCAATTTGTTTTGTGCCCATTGAAGCTCTGTGGGCTGAGATACGGGCGGTGACGTATATAAGAAATAACGCCACCGGTGACGTAAATAGAATTGTTCGTGCAAGAAGGGTGACCGGTCGAACTGCAACAACTTCAGGGGCATCTCGCTGCTCTCGCATGTAGGCAAAATACTCGCCAAGACCATCACCAACCGCCTGAGC